TAAAGTCGCCTGCGACAATGAAAGGCATGGCCATTGCGTGCAGGCGCTGCGCTACGAGCCCCAGCACGTGAAGGTTGGTCGCGTTGAGCCCCGAGCCCGACTCCAAGTAGAGGTTGACCCACGCGAAACCGCCGTCGAGCACGCCAGAGCAGCAATGGACCACGGCACGGCCAGCGGCGAGCACCGGGCCACCGAGCACCTCACACGCAGCTAGCCCATGACCTTTTCGCACCATCTGGATGCAGCCGCCCGAACCCGAATATCCAGGTAGAGCGCCATGGGCAGGGTGAGCGACAGCCAGCCAACCCATTTGGCCAAGCTTGGCCTCCGCATCAGCACACTGGTCAGGACGCAGGTGTTCCTGGACAGCCAAAAAATCAACATCGCGAACCTCGGGCTCAGCCAATAGTGTGAGCAGCCTGGCGTAGGCGGTCACGTTGGTGGCGAGACCGATCCATTTCGCACGCGGGCCGTTGGTTCCCCGGTTGTCCGTTTGGGGTTGTTGGTTCCCGTGTTGTCCGTTTGGGTTGTTCGTGGTGGTGGTGACGTAGGTTCCCGTGTTGTCCGTGTGGGGCGTGCTACCCCAACTGCGCGAGGCCTTTGGCATCCAGGCCGATGCCCAAGGAGTGGCGGGCTTTCTTGGACTGCGAGAACAGATCCACGAAAACGGGCGTGAGCTTGTGCTTCTCCGCGGCCGACGCCTGCTGCAGGAAGTCATTGAAAGCGGGCGACAGCGAGCACATCGTGGCGACGGTGTGCTCGTTAGCCAACTCGGCGTCGCCCTCGGAGCCGACGGCGATGTCCATCGGCCCGCCGTAGGGCGTGGTGGGCGCCGACAGCTGCACGGCTGGCTGCAGCACTGGCGCTCCTGAAACCACAGGGGCCTCAGCAGCCGCACGAGCAGGCGCAGCTGCCGGAGCGGCAGCGGCGGGAGCAGGCGCCTCGGCGGCAGGCGGGGGGCCCGTGGCCGCGGGGGGCGCAGGGCCCACGGCCGGGGGAGCCCCCGGCGCCGTCGGCGCTGGCGGAGCCGCCGCCGCCAGCGTCTGGAGCGGCTGCAGGAGCGGACCCAGGGCAGACAGGTCCTGGACGCGCGCCAGCAGGCCCTGCAGCTCACGCAAGGCCCCCTCGACGGACCCCGCGAAAGCCGAGACGCCAGGCGTGGGGCGTGGGGCCAGGGCCGAAGGCTTGCGCTGCCTGGGCCGCGTGCTCACGCGCCGACTGGAGCTGGGTCTCGATGTCGTCCACCGCGAGGCGGAGCCCCTCGGCCTGCTCCATGATCTCCGACACGAACGCAAGCTTCTTCTGGTACCTCGTGCGGGCGGCCTGCAACTGCTGAGTGAACTGCAGGACGTCCTGGTTGGCGGAGACGGCCTGCTGCATCGGCAGGCCCTCCTTGGCACACAGGCGTTTATGGCGCAACTTGTCACGAGACGAAGCTGCGAGAGACTTGGCGGCTTGCTCGAACACGGCGTCACCCATGCTGAACCAAGCCTTCTCTTCATCAGGTTGGATGACGCGGCCACGATCGGCGGCGCCGTTGCCCTTAGCATTGCCGGGGCCACGGCCTGGCCGCTGCCCGCCGAGCTGGCCAGGTTGCCCCGACCATTCGCCAGGGGGTCCGCGAGGTTGACCACCCCACACTCCAGCAGCGCGAGGTGGCCAGACGACGGCCGGCTGGGCATGAAGAGGGTTCCAGGTCCCCCGGGGGGCGGGGTGGAGGCTGTGGGGTCACCACGTGCATGGCGCAATCTGCACCCTTGTTCCGTGGTGGCCAGTTGAAGTGGGCCGTCACGGTGGCGGCAAGACTCAACCCATTGGCGGACAGGCGGTCGGGCAGATGGCAACAGTGAGCACAGTAACCGAACCGTGGCGGTTGGACGAGCGCGTTATGTGCTTTCTGCGGCTATGGGTGATAGTATCTCACAGTAATTTGTCTGGAAAGCGCCGTGGCCTTGTGGCCAAGCTGCGGGGGCTCCTCAGACATCCTTAGAGCCGATCGGGTTCTAAGAGAGCCTTTGTTTTGAAAGCCAAAATGGCTACGGGCCGCCTCCGCCTCCTCCTCCTCCTCTTCCTTCTCCTGCCTTACTCGCTTCTCCTCCTCGACTTCGCCTCCTCCTCCTCCCCATCCCCCTCCTCCTTCCTCCTCCTCTCCTCCTCCTCCTCGACTTCTCATCGTTTTCCATCAGATTCGACCCCGTTCCTTCCACGCCTGGTCTCCCGCAGCCCACCTCGCGCGAGTAGGAGGGAGCAGCAAGCTGCAAATTTCAGTATCGTGCACCACCCGAGGCGACGAATGCTGCCTGAGAGAAGTGCAAAAGAGACAACGAGTAAGTATTGACGACCTAGGAAAACCTGCCAGTGCTGGAACGGAAGATCGAGGGAAGGCGCCGAGTATCGTGTAAGGCGAGAAGCGCACTTTTGAAAAAGCACACAATATGAGTTTTTCTTGCCCGTCTCTCGCGGCGCTCGCGTGCGCCTCTCTGGGGACGTCTCGGGGCCTCTCGGTGGACCTCGGGGACCTCTAGGAGGATCCCTTGGTGCTTCTCGGGGCCTCTCTAGGAGGCTTGAGGAGGGCGTCCTAGGGTCTCCTGAGGCCTCCTGGGAGAGAGCCTGGGGCCGCAGCGGCTCGTCGAACGCGAAACAGGGACGAGGCAAATATTATCGCTGTTGCTCAGGTTTTTGAACACCCTTTCTGGCTTACCAAGCTCGTCACCTCGAGGTTAATCGAGCCAGGCCATAATCGAAGTCCTACTCGAGTCGAAGGGAAGCCCCTTCCCTTGGATCTCTTCCCCGCCGGGGGGGGGGTCCCGGGGGGGGGGTCAGGGGGGTAAGGGTGACATTTAAGAGTATGTGGCCTGCCGCTTTTCTCAGCATCATGATCACCATCATCATCATCATCATCATCATCATCATCATCATCACCATCATCATCATCGTCGTCGTCGTCATCATCATCATCATCATCATCATCATCATGATCCTTTTCATCCCCCTCCGCATGTTCCTTCTCGTATTATTCGTCCTCCACATTTCCTTTCTTTTCCGCGCCATCAAAACAGTAAGACATCCGTACAATCAAAACAGTAACAAACCCATACAATCCCAAACACTTAGAAATCCATACAACCAAAAACAAACAGAAACCCATACAATCAAAAACAATCACAAATCCATAAGATCAAAAACAATAACAAATCCATACAATCAAAAACAATAAGAAATCCGTACAATCAAAAACAATGAGAAATCAATACATTCAAAAACAATCAGAAAACGTCTTGGGTCCCCGAACCCTGTGAGGGTACCAAACCAAAAATCAATTGTTTTCGTGTCTTCGGGCTTCCTCCGGGCCCCTCCACCCAATCCGCACAGGGTTTGTGGACCCAAGACGTTTTCTGATTGTTTTTGATTGTACGGGTGTCTTATTGTTTTTGATTGTACGGATTTCTTATTGTTTTTGATTGTAGGGATTTCTTATTGTTTTTGATTGTATGGATTTCTCATTGTTTTTGATTGTACGGATTTCTTATTGTTTTTGATTGTATGTATTTGTTATTGTTTTTGATCGTATGGGTTTCTTATTGTTTTTGAGTTTACAGGTTTCTGATTGTTTCTGATTGTATGGGTTTCTTATTGTTTTTGATTGTATGGGTTTCTTATTGTTTTTGATTGTATGGGTTTCTTATTGTTTTTGATTGTAGGGTGTTCTTATTGATTTTCATTGTGGAGGTTTCTTTCATTTCTCATTGTACCGGCCCCCTCCTCTCCACTACTTATCCCTTCTCCTCCCCCTCCGTCCTGACCTGGGAAGCGAAGAGGCGGAGGGGGAGGAGGAGGAGGAGGAGGAGGAGGAGGAGGAGGAGGAGAGACGATGATGATGGTGATGACGACGACGGTGATGACGATTAGGATTATGGTGACGATGATGACGATGATGATGATGATGACGATGATGATGATGGTGATGATGACGAGGGCGAGGGCGATGACGAGAAGGGATGATGATGGCGATGATGATGATGATGATGATGATGATGATGATGATGATGGTGACGACGCGGCAGAGGACGAGGATGAAGGGAGACCATGATGATGGCGATGATGATGATGGTGATGATGATGATGATGATGATGCTGATGATGGTGACGACGCGGCAGAGGACGAGGATGAAGGGAGACCATGATGATGGCGATGATGATGATGGTGATGATGATGATGATGATGCTGATGATGATGTGGAGGAGGAGGAGGAAGAGGAGGAGGATGAGGATACATGATGATGATGACGATGCGCAGGAAGAGGGGGATGAGGCGCTGTGATGATGCTGATGATGTCGATGCTGAGGATGACGAGGATGATGATGATGATGATGACGACAATGATGATGATGACAATGATGATGATGATGATGATGATGATCATGATGATGATGATGATTATGATGATGATGATGATGATGATGATGATGGGAAGGGGGATGGTGAGGAGGAGGAGGACGGATGATGATGAGGGATGATGGTGATGATGGATGATGGTGATGATGACGATAACGAGGACGAGGACAAATGATGATGATTATGATGATGATGGTGACGATGAGGAGGATGAGGAGGAATAGCGCTGATGATGGCAAGGATGATGATCATGAAAATAGACCGTCATTGGCGTCGACGGGCAGTACAGCACCCTCCTCTGTGCTCTACCAGCAGAAACACGGGCAGAGAACCAGAGCGAGTTCCGACAACTCTGGCCTGCACGTGCAGCTTTCGGTGCAGTGCGCAGGCGGAACGAGGGCGCAACGCACGCGGCAATCCCATCCTCAATGAGGCAACATGATACCCTAGATCGACCGGAACGGATTTAAGCACTACGTGCTCAGATCCGTTCCACATTATTGTTTTCGTGTTTGATGAGGTTTCTGTTGTTTTCTTGTTGCAGCAAATTTTGCGAGGCAGCTTGTTGCTCGTGAAGCCGTACTCCTCCGAGTCAGCGCCGAACATGATCTCCGCGCTCTTGGAGGCGGTCGGGGCAGATGGGCGCAACCAGCCCCGCTTGGTGTGTTCGGACTCTCCGGAAGTTCTATGTCCCGTCGTTCGGGAACACCTTCCGCGGGTGCTGTGCGTCGCGAAAGACCCGCTCCACGTGGCCCTGAAGGTGGAGAGTGCAGCCAACGAGCGGGTGACCCCGTTGTCTCGCCCCCTGCGCAAGTGCCTCCGGAAGTTCGTGATCGGGGGCGACGACGGCAAACAGTACTTCCGCGGGCAGAGGCAGATGGTGGACATCCCGTCGTTGGGAGACGTCATCGGCAGCATGCCGCCCAGCCGCAAGAGGGCTGTGCTGAATCGGACATCGAGCGATACGTATTCCGCCAGGCCTTACGCGGGGGCATCCCACTTCCTGGAGGACGTTGCCGCCTTGTGCATGGAGCACCCGGACGAGCTGCGTCGCAAGACCAACAGCGGCTCAACGGTGCACCGATGACAACGGCTGCGTTTCCGACAGGGGCGGGGCGTCGGTGGCTGGCGGCGGCCCGAGCAGCCAGGCACGCCAGTTGCCAGCGCGCTGCCCCTTTCCGAAAAGCGGCCGTTGTCGTTGGCCGCGGCAGGTGCGCGCCAGCCTGGCGTTCGCGACGTCGCCGCGCCAGGTCGAGTACCTCTTCAACTTGTCGCGGTTTGCATCCAGGCACCCCGAGGTCGACGTCCCCTACGGCACCACGCGCAACGAGGCCGCGCACAATCAGTTGAAGAGCTACTTCAGGAACGTGATCCTGCAGACTGGGCGCAACGCCCAGATGGTCGCCGCCGTGTGCACGTCCGCGAAGTTGCTGGCGGGCTGGATGCGGCGGATTCCGAACCTCGCTGACTGTCGTCGTGAGGAGCACGAGGTTCTGCGCTACGCGCTCAGCAGCATCGCAGGCAGCCCTCCGGACGCCACGGTGCGGCCGCGGATGCGCGGCAAGACCCGCTATAATCCCAGTGTCGATGAGAGTGCATTGGCCCCGGGGGCCAAGAGGCTTCGGCGGCCTTTAGTGGCCCGCATAGGGCGGGCATGTTTCGATGTCTTTCTTTTCCCAGGGGCGCAGCGGAGCGGAGGGGTCGACCGCTGCCAAAAAGGAAGTATTCGTCTCGGGCCTTGGAGTTCGATTCCCCCCATCGCCCAATCGTCGACCGCCGCGGCTGCGCATGAGACAAGCGCGCCCGAGCGGCGCCCCGAATCGCCCCGACGCGCCCAGAGCAACCCCTGCCCCCCGCGGGCCATGGCCGCCTGCGGCTGCGCCTTCGGCGGTTTCTTGGCGTCGGTCAACACGGAGACTGGCTGTCGATTTTGGATGCCCGTGGACTCCAGCGGCCGCGCCCTGGCCGTCGGCTCAGTCGCCTCCTCGACGGGAGAACTGTCTCCCGACCGAACTCGACCCTGATGACATGTGTATATCTAGAAGTAATAACAATTACAATTAAGTTAATGCCTGAGAGAGAGAGAGAGAGAGAGAGAGAGAGAGAGAGAAGCGATGCGCTGCATCGCTTTCGCTTCGTCGGTCGCTCGTCTCCGCGTCGACGCTCTCCTCCGCGCTGAGGTCGTGGAGTTCCTTTCCGACCAAGACTTCGCGAGGTGGTTGGTTTCCGGGCGCGCCTCTCTCTCGTGGAAGGCGCGTGGATGGCCAACGAGGCGCTCGCGTTGGCGGCCAGTCTGGGTCATTTCTCTGAGCGCCGCCTCAGCCCCGACTGCGCTGCCTCGGTGCAGCCTGGCGGATGCGACGGTCGAGAAAAGACTAGGCTGCGCCGCCAGGTGTCGCGTGCGCCTCTATGGCTGTCCATGAGGCGTGGGACTCCCTGTACATTCAGCTGCCGCCGGTTGTAATCGGATACATTTACCTCTTCGCAGGGGAGATCATCAGGGTGCCCGACTGGGCAGACTGGTACACCACGTGGGGAGTCCGCTACATTTCGAGGGCCCGCGCGCCGCTGCCCAGTACAATCTGAGCGGGGCGCTTTCAGGGGGGGGGCCGCGCTGCCTTGCATGGCCAGGGCGGCGATCGCTTCTTTCTCTCGGGGGACGCAGCGGCGCGCAGGGGGTCGACCGCCGCTAAAACGCAATGCTTCATGCTCGGGCCCAGATCCCCCCCTCTCCTCGGCGCCCCACTGCCATCGCCCGCAGCTGCGCGGGAGCAAAGCGCGCGCGGGAAGTATTCCGCCGCTCCCCCCATCCCCCAAGTCGGCCTTCGGCGTGGCTGACGCCGACGCCCGCGACGAGCTCGGCCGCGTGCGCGCCGCATGTCGGGCGACGCTGATGCTTGTCGAGGAGAACCGATTGCCTAAATTCGATCGGCTCGATCCAGATTTTTGTGTTTGTCGATGCTTCGTCAGTCGAAGGGGGCTGGCATTTCCTATGTGAGTAGTACCCAGCGTCGCTGCTGCTAATTGCCATGCGGCCAGGAGAGGCCGGACATGGTCGCGTACCAGCACACTCTCGTCCTGAAGAAGCACTTGTTCTGCAAGGCTTTAATGGCGATTGTGCACTGGGACGTTCAGATCCCTGACACCGTACTCGGTCCCATCGTCTCTTTCCTGGCGCCTTCGATGCAGGGCTGGGTCACCCTCCCGAACATGGAGGCGGCCGATAATGACCCCGTGCTTCCAAACGCAGGAGGCTTAGATGCCCTGATTTTTCTTTTCGGAGGTTTTGCCGCTCCGCCAGCCAGATCGCGCGCCATGCGTCGGCGATGCCGCGTGGCGCGCGGCACCTGGTTCCCCTCGAGTCGCATGCTCGACGAGCGATTCGAGACTCGCCGCGCGACCTGGCGCGCGGCTCCGATCGACGATTTCACAAAAAGAAAGAGCAGGAACGGATTTAGGCACGTCGTGCCTAAATCCGTTCTTGTAGTTTTGGGGGCCCTGCCAAGGGCCAGCTCCACTTCATGCACGGGTACCTGGCCATCGAGGCCGAGTACCCGGTCGACGAAGTGGACATCGAGAGTGACTTGGCTCGTGTGGGGGTCAAGTTGCACCTCCTGCGCACGCAGGACCTTAGTTGTTGCTACAAACGTTGGAGGCGTTGTCTTTCCGTTTTCCATTTCTCGTTATTGACCCGACCAACGCGTTCTAAAAACGACACCCCGGAATGTGGGCTCCACGCTGGCGGCATTGTGATATAACAAACACAATAAAACACGTATTGGAAACATAAATGAAACGAGCAGGTGGGCCACAGGCCGACCCCGAGGTTGCACGTGCCAGAAACGGTGCCCAAAACAGAAAGAAAACGCAGACCTGGAACACGGAACAAAAACGGCCCCGGCGTGTTAAGACCATCTAAGCGCAGGACTCGATGCTGAGCGCGATGTACCTCCGTTGCGTCAACTTCCACAACGGCGTGGACGCCGCCATATCCCGCCTGAGCGCCATGCGCTTCGGCTGACAGATCAGTCAGCAGAGTAGGTTTGTGTCATTCTAGGAATCTGTCAATGGGCACTGGCTTGCCCATGTACTCAGGCAGTAATTTGCTGGCTCTGTGCACGCAGCAATATGTGTGTGGGGCGCGTTTGCGGCGGGGCCTCGGTGCGAAAACGATGCGTGCGGACAGATGCCAGCGGCGCCGCGGATTCGTGGCACATCTGGAGCAGAAGTAGCATCAGCAGATCACCTAGTAAAAATAATGATACGACGCTGCTGTATGCGTAAGGTCAGGAGGAAGTGTAGGACAATGAGCAAACGCACGAGCATGACCTAAGTATTATAGTAGTATTTACATGAGTACAGATACGGCCACTACTGCTAGACCTGATATTTTCGAATGCGCGCGCCACAACCGTGCACGCGAGCAAGCTCACGCCATGAGATGCCGCGCGGAAAAACAAACGTCTCGGCGCGAGCAAACAGCGCAGGTCACATACTCTTGAATGTCACCCCCACGGGTCAGGGGGGGGTCCTGGGGGGGGGTCCCGGGCGGTCCAGGGTCAGAATACTACCCCCTCCCTTTCGTTTCCGGGTCGCCTTCGAGGAGGCTTGGCTCTCTTTCGGCAATTCAGATCCATGATCATCCAAGAGAGGCCTGAAAGATCGTTCCGAGACACCCAAGAAGCCCTCCAGACGGCCCAAGAGGCCCAAGACGGCCCAAGAGGCCTCCAAGACGGCCCAAGAGGCCTCCAAGAGCACTCCCAGAAGCGCCCCAAAAGGCACAAATCACAGATTTCCATTAATTTGTTTTAAGGAATTGGCCGTTCTGGCCTTTTCGGCTTCCCGACGCACCAAGACGGTCCAAGAGGCCCCCAAGATCGCCCGAAGACGGCCCAAGAGGCCTCGAAGGGCCCCACAACGGCCCAAGAGGGCCCCAAGACGGCTCAAGAGGCCTCCAAGACGGCCCGAAAGCCCGCCAAGACGGCTCCAAGAGGGGGCCTAGATGGGGGGATTCGAATGAACAGTTCGAGCCCTCGGCCCCGAGAGGCCATCCAGGAGGCCCCAAGAGGCACCCAAGAGGCCCCCAGGAGGCCCCAAGAGGCCCCCAAGAGGCCCCCAGGAGGCCCCAAGAGGCTCCCAAGAGGCTCCCAAGAGGCCCCCAAGAGGCTCCCCAGAGGCCCCCAGAAGCGTCAAAGACGAGCCCGAAGGTCCGGACACCATCCCAGGAACCAACTATTCAATCACAAGTCCGTCTTTGACATACCCTGTCTACTGAACCAGATCCCGGAGGCCTAAAGCGGAGAGAAACCGCAGAGATCGAGAGTCGACGACGCTCGACGGAGAATGGCCCACGAACCGAGGAGGAGGAGGAGGAGGAGGAGGAGGAGGAGGAGGAGGAGGAGGAGGAGGAGGAGGAGGAGGAGGATCAGCAGCATAACGAGAACGAGGAGTAGAAGATGGAGAAAGAGGAGAAGGAGGAGGGGGAGCCCGAATCAAGGGAAAACCTCAGAAGATCACGAGCGGGACCGGACGGCACCCGCCGTCCTCCTCCTTTTCCTCATCCTCGTCGTCCTCCTCCTGCTCCGCGTCCTCCTCCTCCTCCTCCTCCTCCTCCTCCTCCTCCTCTCTCCTCCTCCTCCTCCCTCCTCCCTCCTCCTCTCCTCCTCCTCTCCTCCTCCCTCCTCCTCCCCCTCCTCCTCCGCCTCCTCCGCCTCCTCCTCCTCCTCCTCCTCCTGGTCCTCCCCCGCCTCCTTCGCGTCCTTGACAGAGTCGGCGGAGCTGGCCGCAAGGCCTTTGCAAAAAGATCGCTCTTCCTCAAGTTCTTGAAAATATGTCGGGTTCCTCGGAGCACCGAGGAGGACTCTTGGCAGAGGAGGAGGAGGAGGCGGCGGAGGAGGAGGAGGAGGAAGAGGAGGAGGAGGAGCAGGAGGAGGAGCAGGAGGAGGAGGAGGAGGAGGAGGAGGAAGAGGAGAACTCTTGGGAGGATCTTGCGGGGCTCTTGGAGCCTCGTGAGGGCATCTTGTGCGCTTGGCCATCTTGGGATGTCGGAGGCCGTCCGGGAGCCATCTGCGCCTC